GGAGTTCTGGATCAAGTAAGCTGAAGACTTGGCCCAGGTAGGTCAGTGCCCAGGACGTCCTTGGCAGGTGCCAATTCCAAGACTCCCACAGGAGCAGATTGCCTAGTGTCCCTGAGAAGTCTTTGCTGTGTCTCATTCACTCAGCTGTCAGGTATGGTAGGATACGGATTCAGAATTCTGAGAGAACAGGAAGACAGAAGCAGATAATCACAAAGAGCTACTGCCACGGCTTGAGTAAGGGAATAATCCTTCTGAAGCCTTTGCCAGCAAAGCATAACCAGAGTATGAGGCTGCTAGAAGATGGCTTAGGGGATTTGGTGATTATCTAGGCCTGGAGAGTGGTGCTGTCCCCAGTCCATCATGATTTATTCCCTGGTCCCATAAGTGAGGGCAGTTGCCACTTGCATGATACACCTATTTATCTTGTCCACCTAACAAACTCTTGGCATAGTCAAGAAATAAGAAGGAATAATCAGGACCTGCACTGTGGCATAGCAGGTAGAGCTGCTGCCTACTGCACTGGCATTCCATATGGGCACTGGCTCATAAACTGGCTGCTCCGCTTCCAATCCAGCTCCGTGGTAATGTGCCCAGGAAAGCAACAGAGGATGGCCCAAGTGCTTGGGCCCCTGCAACCACATGGGAGACCCAGAAGAACCTCATAGCTCCTGGCTTCAGCCCAGCCCAGCTCCAGTTGTTGCAGCCATTTGGGGAGTGATTCAGTCGATGGAAGATCTCTCCCTCTCTTTCTCTCTAACTCTGCCTTTCAAATAATTAAATCTTTAAAAAAAGGATCAAGTTATTGGAGGTCAAACGAGTTTTCTTCATTGATTGGCTGGTTCATTCCCGCATTTATTCATTTATCTCCTTGATGGATGAATGAGGACAACAGACCTCTTAGCAGAGAAAAGGATTTAGGGAAGAGATTATGGAAGAACTGTGACTAGAGTTGTGTTATGTGCAAAATTTTATCATCATCAATTCTACCCCCAGAGTGGGACTAGCCTGAACAAGCATTCTCCCTCTCTGACCACTTCTACCCCCAAAGCTTATGCCCCAAGCAGCCTCACACCTTTCTGTGTGCCTCATCTTTGACCTGGCTCAGTTACCACAACACTTTGCCATGGGAGGTCTGCCTACTCATCTTCTTTTAATCTCAATCTCTTTGTTGTGGTCACAAATATTCCACGTGGCCCCAGTTACCCTGCAGGAAAGAAATCATTAATTTCTTGCAGCATCAGAAACCGCAGCACCTTCCTGTCTCAGGAGCAGGGGAGAGGATGGCTACAGTTCAGGGCTTAGGGGAGGAAAAGTGGCAGCAGGGGGAGAGACGGGATTCTGTTGTGACTTGTTATCTGGGCTGGACTAAGTCTGTAGAAGCCTGGGTGCCTATGTGTATCTTGTCTCCATTCTTCCACGCAGCATGCCAGCCGCTCCTGCTGGTATGTAACAGGAGACACTGGCAGTCCCCTCATGGGGTGTTCTGAAACCTGGCTCTGTGTCGCAAGGAGGTGGGCTGGTGAAGGTGAGTGCAGGGAGAGTCCTTGTCATCTGAAAGGACCAAAGCCCTTGCAACTAAGGCCTCTCAGTTTCCCTAAAATAGTTTCAAGCATCCAGAGCTTTCTTATCTTTGAGAAGAGAAAAAATCAGTCTCATGGAAGACAGTGTGATTTTTATAAGATCTCAAAGGATTACATAAGAAGACAATAGCAGAGCTGTGGGCAGTCCAGACTTCCTTACTTTAGTATATGACACAGGGTCTTTAGTGTTCCACAGTTCTATGTTCTGTTCTTTTTTTCACATTAGAAATCCAATCCAAGGTAGAGAGATCCAGTGTGGAAGGGTCAAGCAGATCTGCATGGGAATCCAGTTCTGCTTAGCAGTGTTCTAGAAATTAAATGAGCTCAAATGCCTGGCACAAGGGAGCAGCAGTCAGGGTGTGCTCTCTTTTTCTTCCGAGATGGCCTAGCTGTTGTTAACTTTCTGGAAAGTCATGTGGGATCAAATGTCCTGACTGTCTTGGGCATACCGCTGAGTTTATTTAGGCTTCGATTTGTAGCGTGTGTCAGGAGCTCAAGTTCTTTATGACCAGAGATTAATTAGTATTATGATTTAATACAGTAGCCACCTAGGATGGTGAGTTGCTGCCCTGAACCACTTGAAAAACAAAAAAGGAATTTTTTGAAGGCTTTAATTTGAGTCTTGAGGATGTGAACTATGGAGAAACCTTTTTTTTTTAAATAAAATTTGTTTTAAGCTACACTCTCACCTTTGCCATAACCTAGCCCTTCCCAATGCATCAGGATCACCATCTAGCATCAGGGTAATGCTCTTGTCAAAGCTTTCTGGAAAGCAATGAATCTTGAGTAGGTGGAGGTGTGCAATTTCCACAATGGAGGGACCAGAAATGGAGGAGGGGAAGGACAAAGGGAAACCAAGGCAGATTGTTTCAGTTGTTTGTTCAGTGGTGATTGTGATTTTTGGGTGACCATCTCTTTGTTCAGGAAAGTGGCAGGAAAGTGACAGGGATTTCATTTCTGGACAAGTACAAAATAACACATTTGGTAGGTAGGGAATACTTGTAGTGTGAAGTACTTGAATTGCACTGTCCGAGAGATAAGCTGGATCTAGAATCAGAACTACATTCCATTCCTGGTTCTGCAAACTGTCATTAAACAGGAAGGTCTCATTCTGATATCGAGCTGGGAGGACTGATAGAAGTGTTTCAGATGTGGTAGACTTAAGTAGGTGTTTGCCAAGTTTGCCATCACTGTGTGCTGATTCAGCTGCAACTGAATCAGTCGGTTGTCCAGACTCACAGTTTCATCTGTCACCAGGCCGTGCCTTATTGTACGGTGGCCCTGTCCTAGACACATGTAGGCAGCTTCAACTTTAGATGGATTCCTTCCTAGGAAGAATTAGCTTTTTGCTTGGTTTTGTTATTGGATCTTGGTCTCGTGTTAGTGTCTCTGTGCCTCAGTCCTCCTAGAACGCATGAAGTGTTGCTCATAGGGACAGGCAAATGTTTTTGCTCTAGGCTTATCTCAATAGATCCAATATCACCTTTTCTGTTCCTGTCAGCAATCCACCTTTCGGTTGTAAACATATGTGACACTGGCATTTACAGGGTCTCTTATCTGTGTCACAGCACAAAGTTGTCAAACAATAAAGTGCTTAGAAGTCTTCTGGCAGATAGGAGGCACTCAAACGTGTTAGGCATCTCCAATATTTTGCTCTATGTGGCAGTCTTATCATGAAGCTTAACACAGGATCACATACTATGTATAAGAGATTATAGTTATTATCGTTTCTAAAGCCAACCTGAGTTAGCCACATGAAACAGTGTGTGGGCTCTGAGCTGTCCTCCATAGCCAACAGAAGGGGCCCAGTAATTTCTGCATTGCTTCATGAGGATGTGCTTCAGAGCATACATCCATTTGCAAGACTCCTGGCTGTGTCTTCTGTATTTTTATCATGTCTGGGCTGCACTTGGCTGTTGGCTCACCTTTCCTCCCTGCTGAAAGGGGGGGGGCTTTCCAAGGGCTCTGTCTCCATTTCCCAAAGCAGGAAATAATTGGAAAATTTTAGACAAAGGTAGCTAGGAAATGATGATAAAGGATTTCTTACCTCAAGGCCTTGGCACTTTCTGTTCCCACTGCCTGGAATGCTGTTCCCTCAGATAATTACAGGGGTTAATTCTTCATCATTCAGACTTCTACGGAAATGCTGCATTATTGGCAAAATCTTCCAGGCCACCCTATAAAAATGGAAAACTCCTTCCACAAGTTGTCAGTTTCTGACTCCATTCCCTTACTCTGCTGTATGTTTCATCTCAGTGCTTATCATCATCTCCTGGTTTGCTGCACATTTCCTTCTTTATTGTCTGTCCCCAAGTAGTGAGTAAGCACACTGTAGCCTTGGTGTCTAGAAGAGTACTCACCAGGATGGGCAAATGCTTATTGAGGGGGCTGTATGGTCAGCTTAGGTCTTTTCATTTGGAAAGGATGATAGCAGGGAAGGGATTAACTGACAGATGGGAGGATCAAGATATTATTATATCAATATAGCTATACCCATGAATACCTAAAATATTAGAATAAAGACATTCACATTCCTTTAAGACTAGAGAAATGCAAGCTAAGAAAAGAAAATGAGTTTTTTTTCCCCCATAACAGGCCATAAATTGGGGGAGGGGAATTCTTCACTCTAAGAGGTGATGGCACTTAAAAACTAAGAATCCATTCAGAGAGTTCTGGAAACTGTGGGTGCTATTCCTAGCCATTTGGCACTGGTACCACAGCTCTCCTCCTGGGGCCTCTGTTAGAGGCAGGCTCTAGGGTGAAAACACACAGTGATCGTTGCTGATTGGCTATTTTGGATGTCTCTATGTGCCGGGTCATGAGAGAGACAGAAGTCATAGGGCAAGGAGCAGGGGTAAACAGGAGGGATGGAGGGTTGGAAAGAGTCAGGGTAGAGAATAAGAGAAAGACATTTCCATGAGTCTTCAGGAGTGGGAGACATGGGAAGAAATCCTGGAAGAAGCATTTATGTTTGAAAAGTTTGGGGGAACGACTATTGACCTTGGATTGGAGAAGTTCATTCATTTCATGATTTATTCATCTTACAAGTGTTTGTTAATAGCCTACTATGCGCCGGCGCCATGGCTCAATAGGCTAATCCTCCGCCTTGTGGCGCCAGCACACCGGGTTCTAGTCCTGGTCAGGGCGCCGGATTCTGTCCCGGTTGCCCCTCTTCCAGGCCAGCTCTCTGCTATGGCCCGGGAGTGCAGTGGAGGATGGCCCAAGTCCTTGGGCCCTGCACCCCATGGGAGACCAGGAGAAGCACCTGGCTCCTGGCTCTGGATCAGCATGATGCGCTGGCCGCAGTGTGCCGGCCGCGGCGGCCATTGGAAGGTGAACCAACAGCAAAAGGAAGACCTTTCTCTCTGTCTCTCTCTCACTGTCCACTCTGCCTGTCACAAATTAAAAAAAATAGCTTACTATGCATAAAGTACTGGTACTGTTCTTGGCACGGAGGTTACCGTAGTGAAATTCTGCTCTATGACACCTCTGCATTCTAGGGTGGAGAGACAAATAAAACAAGTAAGTAGCATATGTAGTATCAGTGTCAGGTGATCTGGTGAGAAATGATTAGGGGAAGGGATAGAAGTCCTTGTATGGTGGAATGAGGGCAGGGATGGTTGTGATTTATAATTGGTGGCTGGGGAAGGTGACATTTGATAAGAGGTGAAGTTTTCTCTTGGCCACAACTGGTGAGCTCGTGGATTCTCAGAGGCTTGGGTACTCATGTTAACCGTATCCGTCTGAGCCTTGTTTCCTTCCCTGTCTCAGGTTCACCAGTTTACTCAGTGAGCATGAGGCACTGGGGACACACCACGAACAAGACAAACAGGATGCATGCCTTTGTGGACTCTTCCATCTGGGAAGGAAGTAGGTAAATGGCTCCCCAGCAGTGTGAGGACTGCTGTGCTGGCACATTTGCAGGCTGCTGTGGAGCTCAGAGCAAGGCATCCTCCTGTCTATAGGGAGCTCAGGGAAGGCTTCCTAGCTGAGACTGAGCCCGAGTTGGGAGTTTTGTGTTTTCTTCATTTCCAGTCCTCTGTCCTTATCTTCTGTACACTCTTTTCTTTATTAAGTATCTCCCCACTTTTTGAGTCCGTCCCCATATCACATTTCTTGTTGTATTAGGCATCCTTCATGATTCATTCTTCCCTGTCTTCTTCTCAGTTTAATGGAGATTATAGGTGTTGCTGCCCATATGCTCATAAGAACTCAGGAGTGCTACAGAGGATTAATGGCATTTTAGGATTAAGGACATGATGACAGTTTAAAGGTTTTTAGCTCCTCCTAAACTGGAAGATCTACTGACACAATGCATTGCTAAACCTCTCAGATTTCCCTAAGGCAATAGTTCTGTTTCTCCTTGGGCCCATGCTGGCTGCTGTTCAGGAAATCTGGGAACAGTTGCTTTGGGTACTAAGTCCCTGTTACTTGGACCCCACCTCTTGCCCTCCTCATGGGGCTTTGTGACGACAGAGCTCAGGTATGTGGCACTTGATGAAGTTGCAAGGGATATGACAGGTGCCAGGGCAGTTTGCTGATCGCCCATCACAGCCATGGTGGGATGTGCTGTAGACTTCACTGACCTCACTGCGCTGCATCCCTCACTGAGCTGGGTAGGCACCAAGGGCCATGGCAACAGGAGAACTTTCTTTATCTGTGTCATCATAATCTGACCTGTCACTGATCTCACACTCCATGTCCCCTGAAACCTCACCTTCTTTGGTTAAAATGGTCTCTTTGCTGAGCCCCAGACCCATTTCTACACCTCCACTCTGGTGGTAAGTCCCCTTGGAAATGTGTTTCATTTTCTTCTCAAGCTCTTCAAATCTACCCACCCTTCAGCATCCACTTGCAGCAGCAGACAAACTTTGAGTCCTTTTTTGCTCTCTCCCTGAGCACGGGTAGCACATTTTATCTTTTATAGCACTTTGGTTCCAAGTGACAACTGCCATTGCAGAGAATCCTCAAGCTGGAGTAGCCCAGCACTGCCTCACTCTCCTCCAGTGGTTTTCAAACTGTAATCCTTGGCACCTTTTGGGGCTGAGGTGAAGGGGCCTGGTGGGTAGGACTCTGCCACTTACAGTCATTCGACTACTGCTTTTCTTTTTAAAACATCTTAATTTGCTTTGGAAATAGGTATCTGCAGTATCTATCAAGTTTTTTTGTGATGTGGAAAAGGAGGCTGATGTGGGGAACATCTGGCCCATGGACCCCATGAAATCATTTGGTCTGGCCCTGCAAAGGCAGCCACAGGCAGGACTTGAAGTTCAATAAATCTATAGCAGACTCATTTTTCAGTTGATCATTTCGTATGGCCTGTGAATGATATAAATAGCCAAATGACCCTTGGCAGAAAAAAGGTTTTCCACCCCAGGATGACACATGGCTAGGCAGTGCTGGAATCAGAATCCCCATCTCCTGAGGTCTGTACTTCCTGTTATGACATGCTCTGTTGTACTATCTTAATTATTTAAAGTAAATTATGGCATAGTGCTCCACTCATAGTCATTTAACATGGCTGCTGCTGTCTGTGGTGATGATGTTGATGACATATCTAGTAAGCCCCCTGAGGGTGGCTCCCCTGGCTCTGGTCTCACCACTGATAGGCCTATGGTAGTGGTTGGGTCATCAGTTCAGACAAGGCACCTCAAAGGGATCCCAACTATCCCCAAACTGTTTTTTTTTTCTGCAAGGTCAACATGAACCATCCCTGCCCTATTCCTCATCCTTTCTGCACTGGCCTTAAAGCTGATTCATCAGGAAGCCTGAGGGCTCCTAAATATTCCCCAACAAGCAAAGCAAGGTTGTGTCTAGTGCTCCTGCCTGCTTTCCCCTTTCTACTGTTCTCTCTACTCCTGTTCTTTTTTTTTTTTTTTTTTGACAGATAGAGTCAGACAGAGAGAGAGACAGAGAGAAAGGTCTTCCTTCCATTGGTTCACCTCCCAAATGGCCGCTACGGCTGGCGCTGTGCTGATGCGAAGCCAGGTGCTTCCTCCTGGTCTCCCATGAGGGTGCAGGGGCCCAAGCACTTGGGCCATCCTCCACTGCCTTCCTGGGCCACAGCAGAGTTGGACTAGAAGAGGAGCAACCGGGACTAGAACCCTGTGCCCATATGGGATGCCGGCACCACAGGCGGAGGATTAACCAAGTGAGCCACGGTGCTGGCCCCTCTACCCATGTTCTTTGAAGATCCATCTCCTCCATAAAGCCTGCTCTAATTCCTGAGGTGCCCATTGGCTTTTTCTTCTCTAATAATAATACTTTTAGTTAATATGTTCTGAGCTCTTTAAACTCCATGTTAAGTACTTTACATCCATTATCTCATTCAATGCTTATTACAAGTTTATGAGAAAGGTAATATAATATCACTCTCATTTTATAGATGAGAAAATGAAGGCTAAAAGGTTTCAAATAATTTGTCACAGGCCATAAAGATGATAAATAGCAGTGGCAAGGTTTGAATCCAGACTGTCAAACCTCAGAACCATTGGTTTAGGGCTTGCACCATACTGACATCCTATTAAATTCAGAGACAGCCACACCAGGCATCATTCACTTACTGATTTCCTCACCAGTATTTATTGGGTATTGCCTATATTTAAGAGACCTTAAACATTGTTAACAGTATATGTTAGCGCTGCATCATCCTCTGAGTGTCTCTGTGTGGAAATCTAATCTTCCCAACTTGACTGCAACTTCCTTGAGAGTAGATCTTTTGTTTCAAATTTTTTTGAAGCACGCTGGATACAAAGAAAGGCTTATTCTACTGATGGTCTTGATTACACTGCAGCACCGGTAGTCTATCACATGTGTGTCAGATTCTTAGACTGATGGGCTAAGTAGATATCATCTGGTCCATTTCCTTAACTCCAAACAGCTCTAACTACAACAAAACTATTCAAGGACATACAATCATCTAATTCAGGGGTTGCTAAACTATGGCCTATGAGCCAAATTAAGCCTGCTGACTGTTTTTATAAGGTCGACAAGCTAAGAATGGTTTCACATTTTTAACTGATTGAAAAAGAATCAAAAGACATATAAAAGTGACATACAAAAATGTGACATATAAAAGTCATATGAAATTCAAATTGTAGCATCTGTAAGTAAAGTCTATTGTATAATTACAGTCATGCTCATTCATTTCATAAAGTATTATCTATAGCTACTTTCATTTTACAGCAGCTTCACACTATGGTGGAGGTGTGCTGAAAATCGCATGGTTTCATTGCCATAGTTTGGAGTGCTACACTTATTTAGTACTACACCATTTTATTTTATTTTTTATTATCAGTGAACATTCTTTATGTCAAAACCAAAAAGAAGTGACAGTTGGACTTTGGATATCATACTTTTAAGACACAACAATGTGTGACCTCTGATGAAAAAGCATCATGTTTATTAGGCAATGACACTATAGCTGTCCTGAAAGTATGTATGTTGACATTATCAGGCTAAGCACGTCTCAGTGTTCCCAAGTCAAAGGAAGCAATGGTCCAAATAATTAGGAAATTTAAAATTTTATCTTTACCAAAAAAATGAAAATGAGAGTGGAACTAAGCTAAGTTTCTGACTGATTCATTTGTTAGACAAGCAAGGAAAGCGATTTATCAATGGGAAGTCAATTAAATCATGTTCCATTGCAGCAGCTGAAGAAATGTGTTCAAGAAAGTAAGCTTGCTTAAGGCTACTATTCTTTTGACAAACAATGATGGAGGACTTTGGGAGTAATATCAAAAGTCAATTTAGGGGCTGGCATTGTGGCACAGTGGATTAAAGCCCTGGCCTGCAGTGCTGGCATCCCATATGGGCACTGGTTCAAGTCCCGGCTGCTCTACTTCCAATCCAGGTACCTGATGTACCTGGGAAAGCAGCGGAGAATGGCCCAGGTCTTCAGGTCTTTGTACCCACATGGGAGACCTGGAAGAAGCTGCTAGTTCCTGGCTTCAGATCGGCCCAGTTCCAGCTGTTGTGGTCATTTGGGAAGTGAACCAGCAGATAGAAGACACCTCTCTCTCTCTCTCTCTCTCTCTCTCTCTCTGTCTCTACCCATCTCTGTAACTCTTTCAAGTAAATAAAATAAATATTTTTTAAAAATAAATATTTTAGGTATTTGTGAGCCAAGCACATTATTTAATACTTACACATAGCAATAAAGAAAACAAATTCCCAAAGTCTTTATTGGCAAAATCCAAAATATTATTTTAATGCAATTATTTATTATATAGATTCACTATTATTTATTATATAGATTTACCAGTAAGTAAAATAAAATTCCTTTTTTGGAGGATGACATTTAATTTATATGGGATAAAAATTATTGCTCCCCACCATCAAATCTATTGCTAATGTCCATCTGCTAATGCTGATGTGTAATGAGATTTTGCATACTCTATTTAAAAAAAAATTTTTTTTTTTTGGACAGGCAGAGTGGACAGTGAGAGAGAGAGAGAGAGAGAGAGAGAGAAAGGTCTTCCTTTGCCGTTGGTTCATCCTCCAATGGCCGCCGCGGCCGGCGTGCTGCGACCAGCGCACCGCGCTGATCCAAAGGCAGGAGCCAGGTGCTTCTCCTGGTCTCCTATGGGGTGCAGGGCCCAAGGACTTGGGCCATTCTCCACTGCACACCCTGGCCACAGCAGAGAGCTGTCCTGGAAGAGGGGCAACCGGGACAGAATCTGGCGCCCTGACTGGGACTAGAACCTGTTGTGCCGGTGCCGCAAGGCGGAGGACTAGCCTATTGAGCTGCGGTGCCGGCTTAAAAAAATTTTTGCACAGACATATACTGACAAATACTGATATCCACAAAATAAATGATTTTAATTGAACATATTCATCACTTGGAGGGTATCTATATAACTTCTACTTGGTTCATCTCTTATATTACCGTAAATACTAATCACTTCCAATTGAAGGTTAGGAGAAAGTTCCCTAATTGTACAGTTAAAGGAATATGAAATAGGGAAATTTCTTTTTCACTTGCATTATTGTCCAAAACTTGCTGTTAGAACTATAATTTGAGTTCAGAAGTACTTCAGCTACAAATTTGTGTGGAAGTAAAGATTCTATTATATTAACTGTTGACAACATACAAAGTATGATTCAAACAATGTTAGTTGTCTTTGAAATAACTACCACAGTATAAATTTCACATTTATGCACTGTTTTGTATCATAATTTTAGACTGAATTCATTAAGAAACAAATTCGAATCTGCCACAAAAGCTAGTTTCCAAGGCCATTCAGTGTTGAAAAGTAGTGTGATGGATAATGGTGATTCTTCTCATTTAAAATAAAAAAATGTATATATATAGAGAGAGACAGACAGACAGACAGACAGAATGCTCCCATATGCTGGGCCACTCCTTAAATGCCCACGAAGGCCTGGGCTGGCCAAGAATTCAATTCAGGTCTCCCACATTGGGTGGTGGGGATACAGCAAGTTGAGCCATCACTTGCTGCCTACAAGGATATGCATTAGTAGAAACCTGGGATGGAGATGGGACTCAAATCCAGGCACTGTGATATGGGATGTCTGCTTTCCAAGTGGGTCTTAAAC